AAAAAAAAAATGTTAACAACCTATAACATATAGGCTCTTATTTCCTTCTCTACTCAGAATCCCTTTCTCAAATTTTATTTTTCTTTAATAATTAATTTATTACTTCTTTATTTTTATTTTTCATTTAAAATTTTTTGGGAGCTCTAAATTCTTTCCCTCCTTTCAATACCTCCCCCTCCCATTGAGAAGGCAAGCAATATGGTATCAATTATATATGTGAAATAAAGTAAAACATTTTTCCATATTATTAATTTTGCCACAAAAAGCGAGAAAAACAAAGAAAGAAAAAAAATTATACTTCAATCTGCATTCAGAGTTCATTAGTTCTCTCTCTGGAAGTAGATAACATTTTTTTCATAATGAGTCCTTTGGAATTGTCTTAATCAGAGTAGCTAACTTTCACAGATGATCATCCTTACAATATTGCTATACTATGTATAATGTTCTTCTGGTTCTGCTCACTTTACTTTGCATTAGTTCATATAAATATTCCCAGGTTTTTCTGAAAGCATCCTGCTTGTAATTTCTTATAGTAGAATAGTATTCCATCACAATCATATACCACAACTTGTTCATCCATTCCCCAATTGACAGGCATCCCCTCAGTTTCCAAATCTTTGCCACCATAAAAAGAGCTGCTATAAATATTTTTGTACATAAAAGATCTTTTTCCCTTTTCTTTGATATCTTTGGGATTCAGACCTAGTAGTGGTATGGCTGGGACAAAGAGTATGCACAGTTTAATCTTTTCTCAAATTTTAGAAATCCCTCATCTTTCTATACATACTCAATCCTTTGCATAGATATTCTGAAATGATGGATAATCCAGAAATAATTTTCATTTGGTTTTGGAATGGATGATATAATTTTTTTTGGCCACATGTCTATCTTTCTAATTATATTTATTTAAATTCATCCCAATTAATGGTGGAAGGAAGGCAGCCCAAAAGAATGTTCAGAGGCTAGGGAGAAATAATTCTATGATTAATCATTTGGCTAAGGATAATTCACAGATTAGATAATACACAGCTAATTAAGGCTTGATTATAAACAAAAATTTTTCATGTTCACTTTCTTATTATGTAGGAGATGAGGAGTTCAGGGGTCTATGACAAATATCCACCCCCACGCACAGAACATTGGATGCAAAGAAGAAAGAAGAAGAATAAAGAGAAGAAAGAGGAGGAGGAGGAAAAAGAACAAAAAAGGTCATAGAATCATTTTAAGTCATCATTCTCTGCATCAAGTTTAAAAGGTTTGTAGGAAACCTGGACAAGTAAAAACAAGTGGCTGAACTAGGGGAAATCAGAGCTTTCAGCAGACTAAGGTGATGGAGTATAGTGGAAAAAGTCAGAGATTTGGGTCAAATCCTGCCACTATGTATTTGTGTGACTTTGGGTAAGTTGCTTGATCTCTCCAGGTCTCAGTTTTGTCATCTGTAAAATGAAAAAGTTGAACTAGATAACCTCTAAAGTTCATTTAAGGTTTAGAACCTATAATCTTATGATCCTTAAATTTCTGCTGCCTATTTCTTTTAAAGTGGACCAAGCCATGCCTCTGGGGGTGGTATCTGTTTTCATGCTTGACATAAAAAATGCTATATTGTGTTGCACGACTTTGGTCCCTTTGTTAACACTCTGCTAAGCATGTCCAGTCAATGTATCTAGAGATGATAACGTGGGCTCCATTAGAGGAAGAGATATGGAGTTACTCTCTCTTTTTATTTATTTATTTATTTATTATGGTTTCGCTTTTATTAATTTTTGTATTCAAGTGCCCACTCCTGAGTTGGGCACACAGTAGTCTCCCCCCAAAATAAATATTTGAGGAAACCAGCAGCTGCACAGGGCCTGGAGGGCAATGAAACAGAAGCTCCGGCTTCCATTTTGTTGCTCCCACCTGGGTAAGTTTCCTTCTCAGCCTGAGGGTCTTGCCATTGCCCTTCGCCAGTCCTGGGAGTCAGGAGATGATGGTGGCAAAAAAGGCCAGTCTAACTGAGTCAGGGACTGGCTGAAATCTTTAACTCGCAGACTCTTGGGCTTAGAGGGTACCTTAAGGCTTGAGGAATCAGAGTTGTCGTGGTCTTTATGCTAAAGTGAAGAAAATTGGAGAAGGGCCAGGGTTGCCTATCAACCCATATTTTACTGGTTTGGCTATTAGTGTAGTGCAGAAGCCAGCACTTCTAATGTGCCATGCAATGGCTGGGTTTCTGTTTGTTTGTTTTAGTTCTGATTTTGAAAATCCAAAGAAGGGAATAGTTGGTGCAATACAGTCTTCCATACATTCTGAGTCACTTCACTGCTCTGAGACTCAATTCTGTTTAGTAAAATGATGGGGTTAGACTAAATAATGAGTAAAAGTAACAACAACAATTATAAAAAAATAATAATAATTGCTAATGTTTAAATACTGCTTACTACATGCCAGGCATTGTGCTAAACATTTAACAGTTATTATCTTGTTTGTTCCTCATCATCATAATAGCTAATATTTATGTAGTGCCTACTATGTGCCAGGCAGTGTGCTAAGTGCTTTACAGTTATTATCTCACTTGATCCCCACAACAATCCTGGGAAATAGGTACTGGTATTATTCCCATATTACAGATGAGGAAACTGAGGCAAACAGTGGTTAAATGGCTTGCTCAGGGTCACACAGCTAATAAGGGCCTAAAGTTGTTTTTGAACTCAGCTCTTCCTGACTCAAGGCCCAGTGCTCCATCCACTGTACCACCTAGTTACCCTAGTAATAATAGCTGACTTTATATAGAGTTTTCATGTTTGAAAAGCATTTTGCATATACTATCATGTAAGTTACAATAACTCTTATGAATTTGGATACTATCCTTATCTGCATTTTACAGAGGAGAAAACTGAAGCAAACAGAGGTTAAGTGACTTGCCTAGGGTCATGCAGCTAGTAAGTATCTGAGGTAGAATTGAAACTCAAGTTTTTCTGACCCCGAGTCCAGCATTCTATCCACTAAGATCATACGATCACACATCCAGAGTCGGAAGGGACCTTGGAGTCCTTCCAGGAGACTGAAGCCCAGGGAGGTCAAGTGATTTGCCCAAAGTATTAAGTATCAGAGGTAAGATCTGAACCCAGGTTCTCTGATTCCAGACACAGAACTTGTTCCAACTTAACACACTCTCCTTAGAAAACTTTTCAAACAAGGTCCTTAGAAAATTTCACTGGCAACAACTGATAATTCAAGCAACTCTAGAAAGACAGAGAGAGCCTAGCTAGAACCCCAGATACCTCCAAGCTTTTCAGTCACCTACTACTTATTCCTGCCCACTTGTCCTGAGGGGGGATTCAACATAGCCCACAACCAGACATATAAGTGAGAAAGGGGATGCAATAATCTCCTTTGGAAATTTCTTCCAATTTAACTGGCTTGTTTCTACTGAGGAATGGGAATGGCTCCTTGACACCAAGGAGGTTGGGGAGGGAGTCTTTGTCTTTATTATTTATATACTAGCACCTAGGAGAGAGCTCCACATTCACTAAATATTTGGTGATTTGAACCTGAATGGAAATGAAATTAAGAGGGAAGAGTAGGGAATCCTTCCATTTCAATCCATTGAGAATCTCAAATCCATAGGATTAGTCATAGTTTCATAGGACTTAGAGTTGATAAGATCTTAGAAATAATCCATGTTTCTTTGCTTGGTACTCAAGGTCTTCTGGGCAATTATGTGGCACAGTGGATAAAGTACAAGGTCTGAAATCAGGAAAACTCTTCCTGAGTTCAAATCTGGCCTCAGACGCTCACTAGCTATGTGATCCTGGGCAAGTCACTTAACCTTGTTTGCCTCAGTTTCCTCACCTGTAAAATGAGCTGG